TGAAGATTGGAAGTCAGTGGAACAACTGGAAACTGAGTTACCGCTTCCAGACACCAACAACATTATTTCATGCTTCTAACCAAGAAAATAAGTTAGTCGAGACAAAATAGGCTTGGATTTTTAAAATTAATTGGCCTAAGGCATTAAGATACTAAGTTGGACAAAGTGCAGACACTGATACTTAAGTCGATTTTAGTAATCCATTCTACCAGTAGAAAGAGATCTGATAAAAACATGGCTGAATCAGAGTTAGTCTCTTCACCACTGTGTGTATGTGGTGGATTTATGTAATCGCATGCACACATGCATGAGCTGACGAGCCAGGAACCATGAATTGTTCAACCCTGTATGGCATGAGATTCAGTGCAAACTGTGAGGGTAATTTTCGTGCACGTGGTTTTAAAGCACTTTGAGTAATGCAGCAAAACCCGCGGTTGTCGAAATAAAAACATTGAAAATTGTCTTCATTTTATCCCATTACAGCGTGAACTGATCTGCACACGAGCACTCACAATGTTGGAAATGAGAAAAAGAAATATTCTGACCTAGAAATGCAAGTGCATGAACAGTTTAAGGATGCTCACTAACCAAACCAGAGGACTTTCACCGAATGGTAAAAATCTGATGGTAATATAAAAAAAATAAGCAACCATGGTAGGGTCTTCTCAGCGTGCCCTAAAATACTAACCTGCACCCGCACTGAATCGCATGCCCTCACACCCGGGCTACAAAGTCAGTAAAATGATAGTGAAAATTGCGCGCCAACAAATAAAAAAACTAAATCGATTTCACCTTGTTCACTTTTTTTCCACAGTTAGCAAACAGCACTCAAAATGTTCATGGTATTTACTGAGATGTAAACTCAAAATTTAGTTCCACAGGTGGTAATAACCTCACAGATATTTTGTTAATAACCGGCATAGCAAAAAAGAACAAATTATTTGGAATAGCGAGTCATTGTGCAATTACACATGCTTGGAAGTGTTATGGTTTCTGCACACTTTATCTGATTGTACCCGAGATGGAGTAATCTGAGCAAAATGAAAACACTTTGTGCAAATGTGTGAGATGCATGCTGCTTGACTTCTTCAAATAACTTTTTTCCATTTGATACAAACGTGTCTGGACCTACATTTTTGGCAGTTACACAAATGGAATGAGTTGCACAAACACCTTAAATTGTACACCGTGTTGATTTTGCCTTTCCACGTCAGCTGGCGTTGCTAAAATCGATCGTATTCAAGGATCTTCATTAGGATAATGACAAGAAATTTTGAATTGTCGAAATGCTGTTGTTTTAACCTTGTTGTGAAACAACGCGATCGCAACAACAGCAGCAGTCGATAGAATTCGTCGGCCTGCGATTTTGATAGCCCACAAGTTCTGTCCTGCTGACAAGCAGTTTATGAATGCAAGCTGTGATTATGGCACATATCAAGTACAGCATTCATACCTCTTGAAAACAAATCAATTATTAAATATCCTTCCTTACGCTGACAGGTACTTTGCTGCTTGACGCAATTAAACTCTCAAGTCTCTGGTACTTTTTAACAAAATAGCGCAGCTTTACCTTTGGTAAGCGGTAAGATATGTAATTTGTTGGCATTTTCTAGCAGCTGCACGAGGTTATTTCCAGCAGACTAAAATACGTTCTAGCCATCCACTAGATCTGCTCAAATGGCAAAGCTTATAACTGACATAGCAATGTCTGTTAGTGATTTAAAAAAATCACATTTGTTCATTAGTCATTAGCCACGTTAGATTGTTTTGCTTTGCGAGTTCCTAACCAATTCATTTCGAAAAGCATTATTTATTAAAATACAACACGCTCAAAGCACACCACAAATGCAGCTGTCGACAATAGCCATAAATTAGGTTTGTACGCGCCTTTATGTGTGTCGGTGCATTCTGGGATAGATTAATTCGGAAGCACTGAAGCTTCTGGGGCAGGTACAATTAATTTTACAAAAAAATACTTCAGCCTCGATTATGAGCAGGCAAAAAGCAGCTTCGACACTCGCTCATTTAATCACCAGCAGCTGCTTCACTTTGATGCATGAGGCCTCGCGATTCGGCCATCTCTATTCCAGTTTAATCATGCTGATAGGATTTACACAAAATCAAATTTCTAATACTAAGCCGACAGCTCCAGTTGAGTACCCTGTTGAAGAAATCTTGTCACCTTATATTCTCTGTACGTTTATACCACGCTTTTCATTAAGTGACTCATGTTTCTCTACTTAAAGGTGGTACAAAATGGTTAGCATCCACAGGTGACACATTTTGCTGAATAAAGCACTTATTTTTGCGCTGTGTTGAAGACTATTATACAAGCTGCGGCGCCATCAGAGCTCAAGCACTTTTAACTAGATTACTTGATTTTCGATTCTAGATCGGATGGTGGACTTAGAACATGCGACATAGACGGCTAAGCATTGTAAAGGAATAGAATTTTAGCACTATAAAAGATCATATTTTGTTAGATCATAGTTAAGTGCATACACAACACAACTGTACCTCAGAATTTAAAGTGACAACGCAGTGTTAATAAAGTAAGACATCAGTTTTTCCCTCGAGGAGCAGGTGCGCAGACTATTGCGCAAATGTGTGACATCAGGGAATTGTTAACTTTTAAGTTCTTTTTTTTAAAAGGGAAGTGTTCTAAGACTTCTGCGTAACCCCCAAGATGTGAATCGTTGACGTATGAATAGTATCAGTAGGAATTCTTCTGTGCTCAATCAAAGTCACAAACGCCGCCAAAACGCCAGACGGTTTAAGCTTGCGATTGACCAAAGGGACAGCAAATTGACCATCAGTGAGAGGCGGTAGAGATTATTTTCTAATGCTGTCATCCGCAAGCCTGCATATATAATGAAAATGATCATCTAGAAGAGGATTCGATGGGAAATATTACTTATTGAACGTCTACTGATTCCTCAAGGCAGCATAAATTAGACTTAAATTTCACATTATGAAATAAACAGTTGTGTAATAAATAAGAATGTATCAGCATTTTTCTCTTAAATTAAACCTGATAAAAACTAATTCCTTAGTGACTTCTTGCTTTAAACTGTTAGATATTGGAGAATGGAATAATAGTCATTGATTTTGAAACTAAAAGGACTTGTCTGAAACAATTTATGTTTGCAAAAAAATAGGTTTAATAGCACCTATTCTTGGGAGGAACAAAATAATTTATCACTCTTAAAAGCACTAAGGATTAGCTAAGATAGTAGCACAGATAATGTATGAAAAGAATTGTGTACTCGAGTAGCATAAGAACTTTTCTATCTATGCGAGGAGCGAACGCGATTAGTGACACGGCAAAATAGCGCTGAATGGGAACCATGAAGTATCGAGCACAGTGATTATGGTCGTTTTGAGTCCACGAAGCTGCTTGACTTTGTGGTTCCGTCAGCATTTGAATTAGTGTGCGCATTTTTTAATTCACACGGCCCTCCATTACGTTCCACAGGGTGTTTTGGAGAGTCCCAGGGAGCTCTTTTTAAAAGCGCTATCATCAGTACTTTGCACGCAAAGTTTGAGAACATAGTTTTATGAGAGACCGTGAATCAGTTGTTAGTAACAATATGTGGTTTTCACATACGCGTTGAACGAGTACATGTACAATTAAGTTGGCAGTAGCGACTATTTAGCGCATCCTGTTGACCATTTTGATTTTTGATGGGATGAAAAAGATCCACAAATTGCGTGCTCTTATAGGAGTGGCTTGAGCTGGCCGTATCGTTCCGTTTCTCTACATGAAGAATGCAAACCTACGTAAGAAACGCATAAATTGGTCAACAAAGGTCTGAAATATTTTCAATGCAGTATGTGTGACATTTTTTTGGTTAAGGATTTTATAATTAAAACTTAAAGGTTTTCTCGACTTGCGGGTTTTCGTGTTGTTACCACATGAAACTAAGTATTGTATAAAATAAACCAGCCGCATTACATACCATTCTGAAAAGCAGGACCTGCAGAGAACCCCATCAGCGTTGACTTTCCTATGAATACAGTTTCGACAGACGTAACGTTCACACTGATGACACATTGACTTCGGATTGAAAAACGCGATAAAAGCAGAGCTGCAAACAGCACAATGTTCTTCATCATAGTGAGATATTCCACGTCGAGCTCTTTCCTTTTCTAGAGCCTTTTCCCGAATGTTTCTGAAATAGATCAAGACTGACTTCACCTGTTAAACATATTATTACGAAACTTTGTGCTTTATCATGAACATATTCTTCTGCCTTGTCCTGTTAAACCGAACCACACAACTCGGATTAGACCCATTTTTCTTTATATAAGTAATTATCCACAGAAGTTTAAATTCACAACCTACCTGGTAGATAATAAGAAAGTGTATGGTTTTCACTCCAAGGATTAATTTCAATCTGCATTAACTGAGAGATAACCGTAATCTTAAAGTGTGCTTCACAAGAATTCTTTTTATTATTTTCTATTAGTCAGAGAAACTGGAGCTAATTACTCAAACAATGCCTAGGTTTCACAGAGATATTCGATCCAAAACTTCGGAATATCGAGTGGAAGCTTAAACGATCAATTGTAGAAAATAGCAGTTTGAGATATTATGCAATAGTTTGGAATAAAGACCAAACTGAAACATTTTAATGGTGCAAACTCCCAAGTTATTATTCAATATTATGCACACCGACATCATTTGAGTAAAGACCTTCTGCTGTAAATCAGGTTGTCTGCATTTGATGCAATTGACATTTTAAAAAGTACAAAAGCTGTTGACATTACTTGATTTCGATAGGTAAGGCCACGAGAATGCATCTCTTAAACAAAAACCAAAAACTCGATTTGAAACAAAATCAAACCTGATTAATAATCCAGTTCTGCAAAATGTTTTTACTAACTTAGAAAGAGTGTCAAGAAAAAATTGTCATATTTTATAAAGTTCAGCCAAGTTAAATGCTGTTATTATACAATATCTAAAGTTATTAGGAATCCCCAACACTTTCCAAAAAATCTTACTTGATTCGTTCATCTTCCTTTCGTTGAAGCATCTCAGAACGCCTACAAACATCTGCCAAGTGTTCAAGCTCTTCCTCTGTCATTTCTTGATCTCCAAGAATCTTGCCTTTGGTTACTGATGATGGAATAGTGAGAGCATTAAATGGTGTTGCACGCGACTTGGAAAGGGTTGAGTTACTGCCAGGGACAGCGGTCGATTTTGAATTATCAATAAGTGTTCCATTACGGTGGGAGCTAACCACACTTGCAGCTTTGTTTGGTTTAGTTCCCGAAACGACACTCATGTTTTGGATGACTTCGAAAAACCCTTCTACGTCCTGTAACACTTAGAAATACGGTTAGGTTGATTCAAACCAACTCAAGGTCGAATGAAATGATAACCAAGTAATTGACAAAAAGAAATTTTTTTAGGTCTAATAACACTGTATCATCCATAAAGACCCAATTATTTAATGATTCTTATTTTAATTCTTGACATATTACTTAAAGGTTAATCTTTAAGGTAAGAGGTATACATGAGAAAATTTCTTCCAAGTATTCAGAATTTAGATCAATTTACCATGAATAGAAATTCATTCGGCAATTATGTATGTATCATACACGTAATTGTACCCTAATCTGTATTTACTTGAAATGGAAAATGGTATCATCGACGACAAAGGAACCCTAATTAAACAGCATGGATACTAGTTGAACATATTTGTTCTAAGTTACATTAATTTTTCTATTTTTTCCAAAAATTTCCAGAATATTTTGAAACGGAGAAAAGGTTTAGGCATCGTTAAAATAAATATCAACCACACAATGTACCTTTGTCGCGTATGTGCATGTGATTAGAATCGTATTTTTTGTGCACCACGTTCACTTTTGGAAATATAAATTTTAGTACACTGGTAACACAAGCTTGTTAAATTCGTATGGTTAGCACGAAGGTATTGTAATTTCAAATCACACAATTATTCCATATCCTGGACATCCGTAAAAATTACATAATAATTTATATAAATTTTTTTATGTTTAGAAGTCAAATTCGTCGTTGAGATGATCCGTTAATTTTGCAAACTGGTAATTTTAATTGTACGTTTACTAATTGGCGCTCATAAAGTTCTTAGCAATTTTACTAAATTTTTAGGCCTTTTAGAATTAACACAACTTTTATGATAGTGGAAGGTAATCCTGTATTATTATTAAGAAAATTCTTCTTGGATTAACTTTTAATTTCCTTATAATCTAATTACCTTCTGACAGACTTCTAAACCTTCCACAGGTTCGATCTCGCCCTTAGCTGTTGACGCTGATTAGATCGCCGGGAATCTTAAATACTTATCCATGACACGGTGGACATGGGAAATAATGATTTTCGAAAGCATTTTTTTATCGGTTTTCGCCGTTAGGCAGATCACACTTTTATAATTAATCGTGAAGAAATGTCTTGGAGTAATTTTCGGCATATCGGTGTGCTGCACAAATTGCGAATACTACCTTGAAGACAGGCGCATTAAGAAAAACGAAAGGCTCTAATATGAGGAAGACAGATTCACCAGAACAAGCTTTATTGACTAATCACAAGTTATAAACCTTGCCACGGACGCCGTGTAAGAGTCTATAACTCGGGCTGCGTCGTTCATTAGGTTCTACATCTTACTCATCCTTGTCTCTGATTCGCTTCTCACCTTCTGCGTCGGATATTTTAATGCCAAGAGGCAGAGTGTAGAATACCCGAGCTCTAATAAGAAAAGACTGGTACAACAGAACAGGCTTTATTGACCAATAACAAGCCAGAGCCACACGTCAGGCGCCCTTATCCGTGTCCTCCACGCTGGGCACGCCGCTCATTATATACTGCACCTCAGTTGTGTCCTTCTCTGGTTGGCTGCTTATCTCCCTCGCATGCCACTGGAACGCAGAGAGACACAGGATTGGCTTCGGCCAGGTGGTCCAACATGTCTGCACCCTGATCCGACGCCACTGTAGAATACCCGAGCCCTAATAGGAAAAAGACTGGTACAACAGAACAGGCTTTATTGACCAATCAGAAGCCAGAGCCGCACGTCAGGCGCCTTCCATCCAAGTCCCCCACGATGGCCACACCGTTCATAATATACTGCTTCTCATCCATGTCCTTCTCTGGTTGGCTACCTTCCTTTCCCGCAAGCCATTGGATCGAAGAGAGACACGGCATTAGCTGAGGACAGATGGTCCAACATGTCTGCGCCCTATTCCGATGCCACACCACAAGGGTATTGGCTAAGATTGACTCGACCCAATTTGTCTGCGCACTCGTGCACCGCAACACACTTCTTGATGTCAGAGACTGCCTTCTCTTTCACATCAGCTGGATACAAGTTTTTTAGAGACCGCCTAGAATGGGCTGACGTTACTCCAATTAAGCAAGATGAAAGCCCCCGGGGGGTTGTTAGGATAGCATACTCTGATGCATTTGTGGATGCACACGATTATGTTCGAGCTGTAATGGCAGCTGATGAAAGGTCTCCTAGGGTTCTGGAACTGACATCCGAAGCCCTTCAAATGAATGCTGCGAATTATTCTATATGGGCTTACCGCCGTAATGTCTTAACAACACTTAAGGCATCTCTCTCAGCAGAACACCACTTCACAAAGACTCTTCTTTATGACCATCCCAAGAACTACCAGGTACTAGTTTTTAACTGTAAGGTGCAAAATCTTCACTCTTACTTCTAATGTCCACTTTTTTGATATTAGCTCTGGTATCATCTGCAGTGGCTGATGGAACAGGCTGCTAAAACTGACGGTGAAAACGACCCCAAAACTGTCTTTAGTCGACCTGACTCCTATCTGTTTTCGATTTTGTCAGCTGAGCTTGACCTTGTCCATGAACTTCTTGTAGAGGACGCCAAAAATTATCATGCTTGGCAGTATCGCCGATGGCTTGTCGACTTTTTTGGAATCCCTACCGACCACGAAGTTAACTTCTGTGATTTAATGCTTGCAGATGACGCGTTAAATAATTCTGCTTGGAATCATCGCTTTTACACAATTGTCAATAAAAAATTCAACGATGTCGTTTTCGATCGAGTAAGTCTGCTTAAGCCTGTGGATTCCGTGTTCCAGATAATTAGGTGCATTCATTAGTACTGACTGCCTCGTGTGCAGTGTAATCCCGGGTGTCCTGGCTGCCCAACAGACAGCCGTGCCATTGTGTTCATCTCCATTTTACCCTACTTAATACGTCGTTACTTGCTTATATGCCGGTATATATGCAGACTGCCTTGTTAGGTTTGAATATATTTTTGTCTGCGAAATTCCTTCAAGTATGTGGAACTCAAAGCACCTTAATTATAAAAATCATTTGAAAAATGCTGAGCTTGCCATTAATTTCAGCTTTAAGAACTTAAGGCTTTCATTTTCAAGAGATAAGTGCCCTCTTCTCTCTGAGTCGGTGGGTTTTGTACAATCCCTTCACTCATTTTTCTAACGGGCACGTTTTACACCAAAGGTCTATTTTCGACATTGTGTAGATTAACCACCGGTCGTTCCTTGCATGGCGTAGTCTAGAGGTGTGTTTTTAAACTGTTGGTCCAGTCTTTTCTCTCCCCTTTCTTTTATAGCTGTGGTTTTGTGCTAGCGTTGTGCTTTTTTTATGCGATAGGAGGTTAAGTTCGTTGTGGGTCATCTGAGTTCAATGCCACACAACGAAAGTGCCTGCAATTATCTTCTGGGGCTACTTTTTCCTCTTCCACCTGGCGCCTGTCAAAATGCAATTAATGGTGCTTCAGAGCAGAGTGAGAAATCAACCCTTGACCGGCTCCTGAAAGTTCGCCATCTTATTGAGGATTTGGTGGCACAAGACGTTGCTGGTGCTGCTGACACTCCTGCCATTCTATCTTTGCTTGTTGAGTTGCTTTGTACTACCCTGCAGAAACGCCAACAGTAAGTGATAGGGGCTGCAGAAGGCCGTCCGTATAACAGCCATGCGATTTGCCCTCGTACCCAATTTGTGTAATTTCCTGGTAGTTATCAAACTCGTTTTAAGTGGTTTATGGGTGTTATGTTATTTATGTGCTAATAGTTATTTCGAAGCATTTTCACGGAGGGGTGCGAATTTCAATCGTTGAATTTTCAAATCACAGCAGCGCCGATTAGATCTCTTGCTTGAACTTCTAGGCAGGGTGTGTCGAACCCGCCGTTGTGCTAAAACAATACTAGGACAATTTAAGTTTCATTACGCAATGCGTCTCCCCATCCTAATGACTTAAGCCAACTGCTATCTTCTTGTGCTATGTTATGGTGCTGCAACTTACCATTTTAGATCTGTCGAATCAGTCACCGTTGAGGACGAGGAAACGCGCACCGCGCGGCGTGCAATGGAGATTTGCGAGCGCTTGGCCCTTGAATTGGATCGGGTACGCGCAAACTACTGGCAGTACCGACGCAGTCAGATCGAACAACTACTGACCCAGTCGCCTATGGTAGCCTGACTACTAAAACTTACCGACAAACGTGTATTTCGTTTCTTTCCAACTTGCCACCGATTTTCCAAGCGCTAGACCCACCGAATAATCACAATGACACTGTTTTGATGTTTATGAACCCATTTAGAATTGTACGTAAAGTGTTAACCTCAAGGGCGTAAATGCAAAAATGGAGACCCGTAGGGTTTGTATCCCAGCCTCGTACCATCGCGACCCGAGTAAAGACCATCAGGTCTCAGCATATCCTGGTTGGTGTCCGGAAGTGTAAACCATCATTAAGATGATCACTCCGGAGCTGAGTCACTAGCTTAGCTTCTTCCTGTTTCAAGTGGCCTAATCGGTTGTGGATATTCAAACGCTTCTGACAGCTCCTCGACAAAGCAATGATTCATTAAATCAGGCAGCATGAAACTAGCTGCTGTTATACTTTCAGAACACTGGTACAACTAAGAATTTAGTGTAAATGAAGTATGTATATACATTAGGACGCTTGGGTAGGTCAAGTTTTGGACTGCTCCGAGGCCGCCAGTTGCTTTTTCATTTGTTCGTCTCTTTTTGCTCGCCGCTTGCCGTGGGCGACGGCCTCCGCGAAAAGGCCACACCAATAGCGGATAGTAACTGGTGAGTCATCATTGCCAGGCACTGGATAGGTGATGAGACGAGGGTCACAGTTTGAGTCTACTATGCCGACTGTGGGAATAAGCATTTTAGCTGCATCCCGAACCGCTACGTGACCTGAACCGATAGGAGTGACGGTGTTCAGCATTATTATGAGGTCCGGCAATCGCGTCGTCGAGCCAAAAAAGTTGGATGAATCCGTGAATACGCCACCGCCCCAAGGTCTGCAATAGGAGTACTCACCAACCATCTTTGCAGTTTTCTCCACTAATTGCATCATCTGAAAATATAGATCAACACATACACGAATAGTTAACTGCAAGCAAAAAAATCCGTGGGCACGAAACCCACAGCAATTTTTTCTTCAAAATAACTTTGTTCATATCGGGTCAAGGGGTACGTCATTAACGCCAATTACGCCGCACCTATTTAGGTACCAAAATTGCGAAGAGTCCAGATCTAAATCTGAAATAAAATGAGCTGATGACCCCAAAATCACCAAGGTGCTGAATTTCGACCAATTTCTCGTATGAAGCTTGATTATATTCACATAAATGGCACGGAAGCCTTTTGAATCACCTGCGTGTCTACACACATGGACACAGGGAACTTGTCGAAGAATTTGCCGCGGCTTTAGTGATCAAGCGTCTTGAAAAGGGCTAGATCTCATAACTTGTAAGACAATACACGACTCATTGTCAGAGCCGTAGTTTTAAAAAGCACAGGTCATGTAAACTTGATCGAAGCATCGATAGATTTAACATATTGACTTTAAGCATAGCAAGTGAAGTATCAGGTCAAGTTGGTCATCATAACAAAACACTTGGCCCAAAAATGAGTTAACTAGTGTCAGAATGATTAGCTAACAAGAAATAAGAGGCAAGTGCTACTAACTTGTCTGTGTTGTATCATGAATAATATGATTCCGCCACGATAGGCAATATGAGCAGTAAAGTTCAGCGCATCAAAGAGCAGTTCTACTGTTTGTTCGAGGTCAAAAATGTCGATTCCTTGGCGAGTTCCGAAGAGATAGGGCGTCATGTATGGGTTTCGCAGCATAGACCGATGTCCAAGGTGAGCTCGGACTTTAAAAAGTTGTTCCACTGAAATGACGTGCCGAAGACCAAAGTAATCAGGCGACTCCAGTGGGTTATTCATTTTGGCGGAGGCGTAGGAGAAGTAGGCCGCAACATTATAGAGGGGCTCCCTATGTGTGAAAGCTTTTAAAGCCAATGAATATACACACGAATAAGACATCGAAACAGAACTAGAAATGCTAAAGTAAATTAAAAATTTTCTTTGTTAATTAAATCAAACAATCACAATATCCAAAGTACATAGATTAAAGCAGCGGAATTAACCATTTGCAAATACCACAACAAGGGGATTTTGGAAAACTTAGTACTTTGGGGAAATATTCACGAGTCGTTCAAAAATGTCACTGCGCTACAAAATATTCAGAAAATTCTTTGAATATATTTCTTAGCCTTCAAAATACATCACACTATAAAAATGAAATTCATCGATACATTGCATTCGTTTTACATTTCTTTCAACTGGAACGGAATTAAGCATTTGTTCAAGAGACCGATAAATGGCTTCCAAAAATCAGAAAAATACATTACATCTCTTTCAAAATAATTCTTATTCATAAGCAAACGTACATTGTAAAAGCCTCGGCGAGCAAACTCGTCGAGTTAAGACGTTCATTAGTCTGCACGCCTTCGATCTCATCGCTATTGGCTCATTAGCAAGATTTGAAGAATCACGTATTTTTAAAAAAATAAAACCAACAGATTTTTTTAATATTTAAGATAAAATGACAACCCTTTAAACCAAAAAAGTTAAAATATGCTAGAAGTGAATGTATTCATTTGTGCAATTTTATTTTCCTTTTTAGGCAACACTATTGGCGATGATTTACCAATTGCTAACTAGAACTTAAAGAAATAACTTAAATTAGTTCAATTAAAGTGACATGCTTTTTAAATAAAAAAGGGAAACGTGCTTGTGATTATAGCAAAAATTTTGAGTGCTTAAAGTGCCTGAGGGATTGCTCAACATGCAATCCACCATCGTCTCCGGATCAGGGTCTGAGACCCTGATATTTTGGTGGGCTCCGTTGCGGTTTTAGGGAATCACACCAAGGCCGGAGATTTACACAAACAAGACCCGACAGAAAAAAAAGTGGAAGTGCAGATGGGGCGTGGCTCAAACAATTTATTGATACAGTGACGATGTGCGTGCTGCACTGGATAAAATGTGCTTTTATGTAGCTTTGCTAAGCAAAGATCCTTGAGCGAGTGGAGTTATATGAAACGCTCACGCTTGCTAGCTGCGTTCGTTTCGATTGCTGCTTGCCACAATATCTAATAAGTTGCATTAATGCATACAAAATATTATTAGATAGTTAAGTTCTTTATTCAAAAGATCTTAGGCCAGTATTCAGCTTAGGTTTATGTCTACTTTTAAATTAAAAATCGAGTAAAGAAAGGGTGGATTCGTTTTAAAAAATCCCGCTTTCGTTTGGCTTTTATTTAGAATTTAAGGATTGATGTTATTAACAACCATTTGCAAGTATTTGAAGAACTTTAGCATGGAATACACGCTGATATGTGATTAATGGCAGATGATTCGACAAGTTTTACTTTTTGTAAGTGCTATTCCAAACAACAAGCTGCATAGTAATAAACATTGTGGAGTAGATATATGCAACGAATAGGTGGGAAGCGAACTCTAACTATTTTGGAATCATGCGGCTTTCTATCACAGTGGAAAAAAGTGTGGATAAGGCACAGCAAAAATCAGAGTGAAAAAAAGGAGATATCTAGAATGAAATGGTATATATTTTGCAGTGGGATTGATTATTAGCTGCTGAAAAGCAATTAAAGACCGTGATTTGTGAACTCACAATGCAGAATCGAATTCTAAAAAAAATAATGTCTTGCATCAAAGCGAACTACATGAGGACGTAGTTCCTTTTCAAGAAAATTAGGTCCCTTGCCTCAAGGTTCGATTTTGAATGAGTCTGGTTTTTTTGGCCTCGCTGATCGAATATATTGGGCCAGCCAAAACGCTTTTTGTTGAAATGTGTTATAAAAAATTGGTGAAACAAAGAAATTTCGGTATTCTGTTAGCAGAATAGATTTGATGTTATCTTCTAGCCATATAGTTGCATTAGAGTACAGAGCATGTGTTCTTTATGTTTTTTTTGAATATCTGGCTTTGATGTATCCCTACAGCCTACTTTAGAATGTCAAGTAATAGCTATCATTCCAAATATAATAAGTGTTCTTTATACGCGTTTGAGCTTTCTTTGCAATCAAAATTTAGCTCTTTTAAATGTTGAGTAGGTTGTTTTTGTCAATTAACCTAGTGGCTAAAAACGACGAAAGCTCAGCCACCTAAAAATAGACACCAAAGTTTTATTGAGTTCGTACTTCTACAATTTCTTACATTTTTAGAAGCAGAAATTAATTAATACCTTCTTTTAATCGGCGTCATCGGTATTAACCTTGTCAGAAATTTATTTCTTCAAAGGAATAATTTTTGCAAGGTATGGCAGAGATTAGTGGGAATTCAGTTGGCGTTTAATCAGTTGCATGGTCACCTGTGTATTGGTCGCCTTATTGTCTCATCTGTCCCAATTTTGTTTTTGGATGGATGATACTCTATGTGTAAATAAGGATTTAAGACAGAATGCGGAACACTAAACAAAACTGATTTCTACTTAAAAAGATTTAGCTCAAATTTTACTTTAAATATGATTCATTTCAGGTTCGTTTGACAGGGTTAACGTGAAATCATCAAAACCCTGCCAATTCTAGTATTTCAAATAATGATACTAGTTGGTTTTAATTTTCTTCTACTTCAGTCTGGAATCAATTTTCCGTCCTTTTAGGTCCTAGTGCCAATTTCCACAAGTGGTGTAGCTGTTTAAATTTGCATTATGATCATCTATGGATGATGCATCAATGCCATCGTCGATGAAATTTGTACATTTATGTGAATTAATGTAAGTGTATTTACTATAACATGACTCAGATTTAGTTTTAAAGCATGGAAGAATTACAAAAATAGATTGAGTGAACAAAATAGGTATTGCAAAGGTTTTGAGACTTCAAGAAAATTTTTCCAGCTAATCTAAATGGTAATAATATCCTTCGATGAGGTAGATACGACCACCTATTTGCTCTCTAGGCACGTTTTGTCACGTGTATGTGCGCGTTTGGAGAGTGGTTGTCAGAAAAGCATAGATCAACCGTATGTTGACGCCTGTTTGGCTAAGCCTCTAATTCTAAGTGTCTGGGGATAAATCATTTGAGATTTACGAAGCTAATAATGCATCAGTTTTTTTTGTTAGTCTATGCATTTGAATGCTCTGATAGATGGTACATTTAAAATTAATTCTTTTCTTTGATGCTTTCGGCGATAGTGCAACTTGGACAACAGATAATGCAATATGGTTTTATTCAGCTCTCAAACTGCATTTTTCTTACCTCGCAAATACGTTTCTTGATAATATTAAATCATATTTTTGAACTAACAGCATCATCAAATGAACTAATTTTGCTAGTTGAGTTTTCCTCATTTAACTCTAAGACTGCATCCTTTAGTTTGACCATGAAATATCTTGGCAACTTAGATTGAAACCTTCTTAATATTTGCCAGTAACCACACCGAGTCATATTTAACGGACTACAAGTCATTCTTGAATGTAGTATTTGTTTGTGTGTTCATGGTAGATCTATTTAAATTTTAAAGAGTAGCGAAACCGCAGCATTATTCCGTTGCCAAGTCAAAGAGAGACAAAATTAACAGAAAGGTGTATGTGAATTAGTAAAATTTCGTGTTTGCAGAAAAGCGTTACAAATTGTATGTTAACATTACCACGCCAAGGAAACCCATTAATCTTTCAACAAATTTGCCCATTGAAGACAATCGAAATATGTCATGAGTCCAATCGTTGGGGATTATGCTCACATACACCCAACTAGGTCTACTCCTGTTCAAACCTTCCTCCTTTCAAGTTCCCCAATTTCGGTCCAAGCCATTCTCAGACCTCAGTTGCCGTAACCTTAATTAGAACATTAAGACTCCCAAATGTAGACCACAAAATGTCTTGGTGCCCTACCGACTTTCGAAACAAACAGGTTACTGCTGTTACCTGGAGCAGTGCCCAGGTGATGAAGCACTCCAAACCCTAAGCGTGTGTAATGTTAGAAAAATCCGAACACAGTTCAAGTGGCTCAGAAGGTATTTTTAGAAGTGCTTAATGGTGTTAAGTGCAATTCATTACTAAGTTCACTAATAGGCCACTGCCAAACAAATGTTGATTTTTTTAGCACATATGAAAACCGTCTAGTCTTTGGCAAACGTTCTGAATCGAAATTATATTAACACTTCTAACAAATGGTGTAAGTGGCCGTTACAGCAGCGTGACGTGTGAATGAGCAGTTGATTTTAAGCCACAAGGTGTTGCATGAATATTTTCTTTTAAATTTTATTGTCACAGACGTGACTTACAAAACCGTCACGACCTTGTGCTATGTGTTTCGAGAAAATGACAAAATCGTCGCGTACTAATTTTTTAACAAAATGACAATCGTTCCAAGTGGACTCCACCTAATACACGTTTAAAGCCTAATAAAAACGCTGTGATAAAGATAAACAGCTCGCCCTACTTTATTGCATCTGTTGTGGGCTCCAGCACGTGGTCTTGAAGCACGCCGGGGCCACGGAATTAACCCTGGCTCGATTACGCTTGCCTGATACCCGCGATGAAGAAAAAGACTGGAGAGAACGTGGACACAACCGTTGACTTCAGAGCTCAACCACGCTGGTGTTGTTGCGTCGTGTGTGGGGTTTGCGTGTGTTTTATTAATACCTCGGGTGTGTGAGTCATGCATGCGCTCACAACACATCTTTCGAAATTTGTCCTCCAGGGCCAATCACCTTGACGGCCTCAACAAACATGTACCGTCTCTGGCCTAGATTCTGATAAGATTTAGAGTCACGGTGCTTTCTTACTCCCGTCGACCAAGACGTTAAGAACAAACAAGTGCTACCGTGTTTACAAAGGCTCATTCAAACCCATTTCTACTTAAACAATGTTGTTACTTACCAATGGGCCCAAATAAGCAGCATTCCCACTTTTTTGCAAATATTAACAAGTGATTTTTCACTAGTTTTGTACCTGTTAAAGTAAGAATAACTCAGTAAGTAGTAGCTCGCATTTTGATAAGATCTGAATTTTG